TTAAAAAATGGGCACTTTTCTTGTTTTTTTGCAATAACTTTTTTGTTTATTAACCGATTTTAATTTAACAAGTCTCATTTTGTAGATAATTTTACTCCCTACAAGCTGTCTGAGAGTCACTTTTCGCTAAAATTGATGATTTTCCCTGCAAAGTGAAAAAACTGTTCCTCACTTATTTGTTTAAATAGAAAAATTAGCTAATAAAAGTTTTTGACTCACGAGATGAGTATTAAGTATTGAAAAGGGAAGTGTCTACTGCGACCGGTAGAGGTCGGATGCGTGGCGACAAAGTGTAGGAGCGACATCACACAGAAAAGTGTGTATACAAACGAAACAATATCTTAAAATACCTAACCAGGTTGAAAATTAAAAATTTTTCCAATATAATTTAATGCGAGTTCATTTCTGATAATTTTGTTGTTTTTATCAGCTTGCTTATGTGGGCATAGGAATTACTTAATCTACCTAAATTTCCTGTAAAAAATTAATTTTTATTATAGCTTTTTAATTTCTAAAACCTGTCCTTTAATTCTAATAAAATTTATGTGACCAGTAAATGTTTAGAAGGGAAAAATTTACTGATTTACTACCTTGTTAGTAACCTGTTCAAGTTCTATATTCTATAATTTGATCGACTGCCAAAATACGTTGAAAAATGTGAGTCTTTTTTCCTTAATTCTGCCTGATCTTAATTATCTTCTTATGTTGAATAGCAGCAATCCTTGCAACTGGTCTATGTACAGCTGTGAACAACAAAAAAGGTTCCAACCTAAATCATCGATCGTTTATAATAATTATTTATCCATTTTATTAAAAGTTTTATGTTGAAAACATTTTTTTTGTCCGCGACAATACAAATTGAGAGATAAACTGCTATTAAAATGGTTTGAGGATTATGATCTGAAATGTTATTTAGAAGCCTTTTAGATTTAGAAACGCTTTTTATTTTTTTATTTGCATTGACTATTTAGCATGTACGATTTCTATTTTAATTTTTTAACACTCCTGGAATGTAATTTATATTTTTTTAATTATGGAACCTTTCTGATCTAGCTGTGATGCATTTACCCATCTCTGACTAATGTGGTTCATACTTACTAGTTTTACATAAGAGTACGTTGCAGTTTCAAACGCCTATCGGACAAACCGATAACTCTTTAGACTATGGACCACAGTGGGTGTTTCAAAAAAATCATCTGGGACCTACTAAAACAGATTTTTTTTTCTTCTTAGCGAGCAGTCCATAGCCAGCGCAAGAGCGAGCGTCATGATCTACGACGACGTCAACAAGAAGTGGGTGCCATCAGGCACGTCGTCGGGCCTGTCCAAAGTCCACATCTACCAGCACACGGTACAGCAGACGTTTCGGGTTGTCGGCAGGAAGCTTCAGGATCACGAGGTACTTGCACCGAATGCCAAATAATAATACGCCGCCGCCTCTCCCGCACAAGCCTGTTATTATTAAGCCTTATCTCGTATTTTTGTTATTGTTCAAGTTATTTTAAAAAGTTGCAAGAATATTTTTATTATCTCTTGCAAAAACGGTTGAATTTTGGAATTTGGACATTTGCTATTTAAATCTTAACTTCTCTTGCACGTTATACAGAGTAGCCAAATGAAAACGAAACAGAGCCATTTTCAGGAACTGAGTCAAGATTGTAGAAAAACGCTCAGACCCGTCGAATTTAGATTAAAGGGAGACGTTCTGTCTCTTGAAATTTTTTTACTAACTCTAGAACATACTTCCTTCTGACATGTCTTGATGTTCATTCAATAGCTGTTCTATTCGCACATTTATTGTTCATGAAGTAAAGCGAAATGATAAATAACTACTACCCAATCTACTAACCAACGCTTCCAAATAATACTAGAAAATAATTTGGAATCCACTAATTTTACATTCATTATGTGCATTCATTTCTGTTTTCTACGAAAGTGATAACAAATCGCCAAAAACCAATATAACCCAAGAAATACTAAATTTATACCATTGGCGTACTTAACTCAAATGACGGACATTACTCAACCCCCAATGCCATTTAAATATTTTGGGGTGATGCTTACCCTTGCTTGGGGGTAAAAGTGGCGGAGTCAAAAATATCATACAAGAATGTCCCCCTTTAATCTAAAATCGACGGGTCTGAGCGTTTTTCTACAATCTTGACGCAGTTCCTAAAAATGGCCATGTTTCATTTTCATTTGGCCACCCTGTATGTTCCGAAAACTGAAATTTCAATGAAAATTGATGTCTTAGTGTCGTTTCAAAAAAACAAACATGTAGTTTAAAAAAATATTCACTAGAGAGGTTGACTTTAAAAAATTGAACTAATTTTTGGTGGCGCTTTAATTTGGATGCGAAACGTGTGTATCCTACAGTTTAAAATTGAGTTCCACGCGATATCCTCCAAGTTTTACTTGGAAAACCCGCATTATTTGACAAATAACGAGCAGTGTCAACATCAGTGATAACTTTTAAATGTCCAGGATGTTTACAGAGGCACTGACCGTTGCGGCAGGGCATTTGTAAACACCGAAGTCGTTAAAATTCTACAGATAAGCCGGGGTAAGAACTGGACATACGTAGTGATTCACATTCCTCCTCCTTATCTGAGCATATTCCCCCGGTGGTAATCAGCGCATTAGCCAGTAATGTAAATTTTTCCTCTCTTATCCGCAGGTCGTAATCAACTGTGCCATTCTAAAAGGACTGAAGTACAATCAAGCCACGGCCACTTTCCACCAGTGGAGAGACAATAAGCAAGTTTACGGGTTAAATTTTAGTTCCAAAGAAGACGCCGATTGTTTCGCCAGGGCAATGTTCCACTCGTTAGAAGTAAGTGAGGGTCTGGTGATTGTGTTTTTTGTATGCGTCCACCCCTACAAGGGTTTTGTTCTGTTTTCTGCAATGAATGAATGAGGGGGCCGCCTCCACCTCATTATCTGCAACCTCCTGCATTGTTTCTTACGTCTCGACGAGCGGTTTAATCCTCTTTTTCGTAATTGTAGAATATTCTAATTACAATTCTATTGTCCGAGTTTTAATTACAAGATTTGTGTTCGAGTACGAAATTTTCTATTTAAGAAACGTTTATTTATTCGACAGGTACTTAGCAACATAGTGAGGCCACCGCCTCAGCCACAATACGCGCCCCCGATGCAGCAGCTCCAGCAGATGCCGCAACAGCCCGTTCAGATCCAGATGCAACAGCAACCCCCCCAGCCCCCCCAGATGCCCCAGCAAATGCCCCAACAGAACCAGTACGACGAAGACATGGGCTACCGTACCATGACGAGAGAGGACGTCGCCATCCTCCAGGAAAGGAGGATATCGACAAACGTCATATCGCCCCAGCCCACCTCTCCCATGACCCCGCAACAGAACAACGTTCCCGCGCCACCCGCCATGCCAGCGGGCGCGCCCAGTCCGGTGTCGCCACCTCAGGGAGCCCCCGGCGCTAGAGACGGGCATCAGCGCACCGTGAGCGCCCCACCCGCTCCGCCGCCGCCTCCGGGGCCGCCCGTGGGACCCGCCGCGGCTCCCCCCCCGCCACCACCACCACCCATGAACATGTCCCGGTCGCAGAGTAGCGACGGGGGTGAGGTGAATTCTTTGGCGGCGCAATTGCAGAACGCCAGGCTCAAACGGAACAATAAGGTGAGTTTTGTAAATTTTTCGAATACGTCCGCAGCGTAAGTAAATTTAATTTCAGAATACCCCGCCGCCGACCGAAAACAGCGGATCGTCGACGAGTAGCGGGGGTAGTAGCAATTACGGGACGTTGGGAAGGGGAGGGGGCGGCAGCATGGCTTCCATGATGGACGAAATGGCCAAAACTTTGGCTAGGAGGAGGGCGGCGGTAAGTGAAACGTCGATACGATTTTTTTTTATCATCTGGAAATTTTGCGTACGCAGGTGGAGAAAAAGGTGCCCGACAAGGACGACGAAGATAAAAAGGCCGCCATCTGGGAGAAGACCAACACTCTGCCGAGCAGCACGTCGAAGTTCAACTCGGAATCGCCGAAGAGCGTGAGGAAGCGGTTCGGCTCGGCCTCCGAGGAAACTATACTGAAAGTGAACGGCCTATCCGAGGTGGGCAGCCTTTCGCTCGGACCCACGGAAATCGAAAGCCTCAAGAATTACTTGGTCACGGAAATGAGGAAAGAGTACGCTAAAATGAAGCAGGAAATTATAGACGGTAAGGATTCAATAAGTTTCACGTACGTATTTATTTGCGGTATTCTTTTCAGTAATCAAATCGGAGCTGAACAGGAGGTAATTTACTATACGCGCCCGGGAACCGCAGAAGAAACCACCGACTCGTCGAAGCTACATGTTTTTTGTATAATTTTTACACACGAACCAGACTCTATATATATATATGTGACAATTTGTAACAAATATTAACATTAAGTAATAAAACGTCGATAGGTACCGAACGTAAGCAGTGTACGTTGTTGTGGAGAAAAAGGGGGATTTATAATCAATGTCTCGCATCGGCTGTCCCGTACATTTGAACTACTTATATCTAAAGAAATCACTTAGGTAGGTAAATTTTTTATATGACAAAAACGAGTCGGGGCGTTTTCCAGTCACGACAGACTACGGGACGTTTGAACTACCGGATATGATTCCGTGTTTTTTCCTCGACGTATGCAATTTTTTTGGTTTTACGAGCTATTCGGAGTGGTTTCGTGTAAATTGTAGAGCTGTCCGGGTAGTTCTCTCGTCCGGTAGTTCGTTTACGTTCTTGAACTGGAACGCGCCCCGGCACAGTACTGGATGGCTGAGAAATTTAAATAAAATGCTATATAGATGTCGTGAGAAACTAGAGCACTTTTTTTTATTTTATAAGTTCTAACATAGTATTTATTTTAATATTGTATAAGTTATATTATTGAATATTTAGTGATTCCTATGCCGCGCTGCGGCGAGGGAGGGATTACCGTTTGTTTTTATTAAAAAAAAAACGGATGAAAATAAAATAACCATCATGTTTATTCGGTTTTTATTATGTTCGACTTTAATCTGAAATGAATTATGAATTTTGTACAAATTTTGTCGTAGAAAAAGAATAAAAGTGAAACTGACGTTACTTTCGAATCAAAAATAGAACCACAAAAATCAAAACCGCATACGGGGAAAATTTAAAAAAAATTGTTATATACAGAGTGCAGCTAAAACACTGGGCCAGACTTTGATTGCAAGTACCGATCTTAATAATTTGTTTTTCTACCTGAATAGAAATTGCGTCCTTGAAATATTTAGGGACCAAATAATAACACATTTAAAAAGCGACTGAAATTATTTCATAACCTCCGATTCATTGTGTCGACTCTACCAGATGTGAAGTAATTCTCTGTACGTGAAGTATGTATCTCTGGACGTGAAACAATATTACATTTAAGAGTGAAGTAATTCATGACTGCTAATCATTTTCTTCAGCTATAGCAGACGTGAAGTAATGGTCGACGTAATGAGTACATTTAAAAAGTGAAGCAGTTACCTGACAACCACTGAATTATTCTGTCCGACTATGACAGTTGTGCGGTAATTGTGTTTGTGAAGTACTTGCAGACACGTACAGTATTTAAAAAGTAACTCAATTACTTCATGACTCTGTGATGTAAGTCCGTGAAGTATTTGTGAACGTAAAATAAAATGTGAAATTAATTCCGTGGAGTATTTGTGAACGTAAAATAATACAACTTAAAAAGTGAATCAATTACTTCATTGCTGCCGATTCACTTAGTCCGATTATAACAGGTGTGAAGTAATTGAGCCCATTTTGGACGTAAAATAATATAACATCCAAAAAGTGACGCTTTTCGTCTGGAAATGAATTCGTAAAGCTGCTTTTAACGCTGAAGTCTACAGAAAAATATTTTTAGGTAGTTTTACCGCTACTGTTTGTTTCGAAATTAAAATAAATTTTACACATCTTGTGTCACAAACATTTTGGTTACACCCTGTATAAAACGAAAGGAAGAACTGTTCAAATGAGAACTTCCGTTGGGACATTTTCTACTCCATTCTATAAAACACTTAATTCTTATTTTAAAAGGGAGTATGTATATTTTTTGTATGAAACGACAGGACCGTACAAAATAAAAACGCAAAGTCATTGCCCTCCCTGCGCTGCGCGGCGCCCTGTACATAAGTTTTTAGCTTAGGAAACTTCCATGGACAATTTCGTCATATTCATCAGAAAACTTGTTTTCCTCTTTTCGCGATTCGCCACGCTATCGCTTTATTCACGGGTCTGTCGAGTGGGACCCCGACAAAAATCAAAATTAGTAACTTAAGTGGGGTTATATTTTTTCCGGGTTGAGCAGACGATTGTGCCAATTCGTGTTCGTTCGGGGGGTACGTGAATTAAGCGGTAGTTAAATTTTTATTGTATATGATAACGAGAGAAAATAATGGTTATGTATAAATATATAGACTCCCCGGTGGGTCGTATAGGGAAGCTTGCTAGTTTAGTGTCAAATCATGTAATACATCGAAATTTTGCCATTGGTCATCATTCTTTTGTTCCTCAACCTATCGGTAACTATTTATAATTCCAAAGAAATATTTGGCCCGGCGACTATACTCGGTCTGCACTTGAAACTCTCCAAGACGGCATCTGTTGGAATTTCTATGGGAGATATTGCGACAATCGAAGTATTAATTGGCGAATGTCTTCAAGGCCTTCTAGATTATAAAAAAAAGTGTTAACAACAAAATGGCAGCTCCGATTAGGCCATTTAACGAATTAAAGCCCTTCTATGAAACGATCCTTTTTATATAGTGCGTTACGGAAAAAATCTCGGGAAAAATAAAGTTTCAACTATACAGGGTGTTTCAGAAATACCTCCCGTAAATTCCGGGGGTGATAGTACGACAAAAAATAAGAATTTTTTGTCTTATGAACTATATATGTGTATCTCCTCGTTTTCGAGATACAGAGCGACAAAATAAAATTTTTTAAATAGAATTTTTACGAAAATTTCCAAACGGTGCGGAATATTTTTATGGAATTTGGTATTCCGGGGTTTTTAAGGACGCCAAATACGCTGGTCTAACTATTTTTTGTATATTTTATGGAGAGCGCTAATTGTGCTACATTCGTATTACATTTTAAGTTCCAATTTTTTCGAGGTTAGGTTTTTGGTCTGGAATTTCTAATGTACAATTTTATACTCTAAAAATAATGTACTCTTGTTAGAACTTTCTAATGTGGACGGTTTTCGAGAAGAAAGGCTTTTATTTGAACTCGTACAATGTTACGGTGAAGAAAATAAGTGACTTTTCTCAAAGTAGGCTTATGTCAAAACTTATTGGTGGATGTCTCATAAACAACGCATACATTCTCGGTAATATTTTAAACTAATTAACTTTATATCAAAATTTTAGTGCCTGTAATTAGTCATTACTAACTACAGTCACTAACAATCACTAAAATTTTGATATAAAGTTAATTAGAGTTTAAAATATTACTAAGGATGTATGCGTTGTTTATGAGACATCCATCAATAAGTTTTGACATAAGCCTACTTTGAGAAAAGTCACTTGTTTTCTTCACCGTAATATTGTAAGAGTTCAATTAAAAATCTTTTTTTCTCGAAAACCGTCCACATTAAGAAGTTCTAACAAGAGTAGATTATTTTTAGAAAATAAAATTGTACATTAGAAATTGTAAAAAACCTAACCTTAAAAAAAATTAGAACATAAAATGTAATAGGAATGTAGCGTAACAAGCGTCTTGTATGAAATATCCAAAAAATAATTAGACCAGCGTATTTGGCGTCCTTAAATATCCCGCAGTACCAAAGTTCATAAAAATATTTCGCATCGTTTGGAAATTTTCGTAAAAATTCTATTTAAAAAATTTTACTTTGTCGTTCTGTATCTCGAAAACAAAAGGAGACGGACATATTAGTTTTTGTCATACTATCACCCCCTGAACTTACAGGTCTTTCTGAAACACCCTGTATAACGCCATTTTGTTGTGAAAACTTTTTGTTTTTAAATTAAACAATTGAAATCTTGAAGGGATCTACAAATAAATGCATCGATTGCTGCAATATCTCGGATATTGTAAACGACATAGTCTCACACTGCTGGGCTGCCTCCCGTTTCTGTAATTTTTAACGAAACCGACCAATTTGATTAGCATTCGGAGAAGCCTAATAGTTATTGATCCGTTGACGACTTTTTTTTGTCAGTTATCGAGAACCTGTCTTGTGGATCTCTGTTGAATGAACGTTGAAATAAGCGATTTGTATAAATGAGACATAATCAGTGATGACAGTATGATTTTTTATTAAAACTTTGTGATATTGTATTTTATCTATTTGCATTTTTATTTTCATATATAATCGCATTTCTATTTTGTATATTTCTTACCGCGGATTAATATATGTTATATATATATATTTGTTTTTAGTTGAAATATTTTTTATGTGATCTCAGTCAAAATTAGCACAATTCGGTTCTATATTTTTATTTATATTTTCGAGGTGTTGTAACTGTAATTATCTTTGCGTTGTACATTTTACAATGTATTTGAAATAAACACATTTAAAATATTCATAATTTATTAATTTTTTCAATTAAACACGTACTCCAGTGCCAATGTGATAAAAAAAATTTGTGTATTCTTTTAATGGAAAATGTAATGTGCTGTTTATTTCGTATAATAATATAAGAGAGGACTGATTCTGCGTGGTTTAATTTCTGAGGTCCAATCAACCGAGGTGTGTCAGTGCTCGTCATCAGCATACAAATGGGAAAGATGTTTTTCAGTTATTCCAATAATTAATATTAAAAATGGAATTGTTTGTTGGTGTTATCAACGACAAAGAATAAGAGAAACATTTTTTGAGAAAAAATTACAATTAATAATTATACATGCCTATCATGGATTATACCAAGGTGAGTGTAAATTTGTAAGGATAATCTAGTGTTCATCATAATCGACATCTATCCTATATATATTTAACAATTTTTGGAACCCCTTAAAATGATACGCTCATGGAATCGCATGGCGAATAAGTCATTGCCAACTGTCTTGGCACAGGCTTCTACATGTCTATTATTTATACAAAAAAAAAATGCATATAAACAAAAATTAAAAATATTCCGTTCATCTGGGTCGTGAAAACTAGAAAATTAAAGTATTCTTTGTGCAAAACACGAGTAAAGTTAGTTGCATACATTTGAAATAGGGGCGTTCATCCATAGAGAAAGTATATTTATAGCAACTTCATTTTTTGCAGTTTCTAAACATCTAAGGACCTATATGATTATTTTTTTTATTAAATACATTGGTGCGTGCATTCTTGGACAGTTAAAAAGTGAATAATGTATATTGTAGTAACCTGTTTTAAAGTTTAAATTTCGCGCGGATTTGCGTAGTTCGAAAAAGAAGAGATCTTCGGATCAAGGTGTTTTGATTACTTCACTTCTTAGTTTGAGGTTAGGTTAGATATGATACAAGAAGTGTTGTATGCTTAAGCCCTTAAGCGTTTATGTAGAAGAATAAAGTTTTTTTAAAGAAAATATAAACGATCCCCAAGTAGATTTCCTACAATATTAAAAGGAATATAAATCAGTGCTTGCCAAAAGTTGTTACCTTTTAACTTTTAAGCAAGATAAAGCACAAAAAGAATAACAGCACATAGCACTGGTATTACATTGAATATTAAAATATGATAGAATTAGAAACTAAATAAACCTGTGAAATGTGAAATGCAAACTCATAAAAACTACTTTGCACCGTTAACGTAAATGTGAAACTTTTGGGAATCAGGGAGTCGCTGTATGGTATGTGGTATATGCTGTATGGATAACGATTTGCGGCGAACCATTGGCGAGCAAATCACCAATCGAGGATTTGCAAAATGGCGCGAAGCACCAAGAAAGTGTCACCTCATCGGATCCTGCGCTCTGTTCAGTTCCCCAGTTCTGTTTTTGTTTCCGCTTATCGACTCGCGGTGTTTGGGCAACCTCGCTATACGCGACCGGTCTCTGTTGTCTGTTCAGTTCACTCTGTTGATGAAGAATCAGTGTATGGCGCACAGTGGTAGTGAGGTAACATCCTTCGTTTTATACAGCAAAAAGTAACAGTTCGCATATATAAGAGTGTCGATCCTGCAGGCCTGCTTTGCCCGGTGACCTTTTTTATTCTGTCTAGCTGCCGTTGTTCATCCGTTACAGAAAAAAAAAGTTACGTTGGTTTGTTTGGTTAACCCGCCGTATTGATTTGTTATTGTCGAGGTAAGTAAACAATATCTTTCTTGAGCTCTCCTAGCATCGCTTTTAATTTTTTTTATTTTTGGTTGAAACGTATTGTTGTGTTACTTGATTATTATAGGTATATGATTTTGAAGGTATGTAGCTTGTAGATCCCAACTTCAGTCCCTTTTGGGTAGATATAAAATTAATTATCTATCAATTCATTTTTAGAATTATAACAGAAACCAGAAACGTACCTAACAATGATTTATAAAAATTAAGACAAGTAGGTATTGATTTATTTTCGGTTACAGTCACTCAACACTCTTAGATCACAATAATCTGTCTCAAAATACGTACCTACTTATTATACCTGATTATTTTTTCTCGGTTGATCTATCAGAATCAAAATTTTAAAGTTGGCGTTTTTAGGCACAGATATAACAAATTTAATTTGCAATTAACTATGCTTTCTCCAGTAACGACTTTCGTTTACAACTATTAGGTAATAAGAATATTACAATCTCTTCGCCCACTTGTATTCTTGTAAATAAATCAGCAACGAATGTCGAATATAGTTTGAATCGTAATGTCGAGAAACGACTTTTATACATTGATTGATTTGAATTGAAACAGGAACAAAAACGCCAAACAGGGAAAATTTTTACAACTAAAGAAACCTGAAAATAAATTTTTTATATCTTACATTTGACATATATGAAAATATGTATAATACCGTTTTCAGTATTTTAATTACCTCATCGAGTCACTCTTGCGAGCAAAAACGAATAAAACATGTTCATTCCACCGTAGAGATTCGATCCGCTTCAAGAATCGTCTTTTTACGTTTGTGTACCATTTCCGTTTCGAATCCAAACAAAAGGACCAGCGGACGGTTTCCATAACAAAACGCGTTCGGGTGATAATTATGCAAGTGTGTCGCCAATTAACATGTTAATTAGTGCTGTTTTGGTAAAATAATCAGATGAGCTAATTTCGTTAGCGAAGTGCTCGCTAATTAACGATATTTATTCTTAATGAGGACTGAAGATGATAGTGAAATCGTGGGATATAAATAGGTATTGCGTTGTGTGTGTAGTCACAAGGCGATTTCCAAAAATGGAAGAACTAATACGAGAGGATTTCGGATAGTTCGCGGGATTTCCCATTTGTTTTTATGCCACTCCTAGCGGGTTATCAAAAATGCAGTCGGATTACAAGATAAGGCAACGGTTTTAAGATAACGTAAAAATATTCCAAATTGAGTTTCCTTTAAACTGGTTGTTGAAAATAACATTTTCTGACTGATGTCCCAATACTTATTGCACTTTCTGCAAAACATTCTTAGTCGATTTATCTGCAATTTTTAATGGACGTTGTCAAAATTATATTAACAGACAGATCAAAATAACTCATTTAGAGGGGGAAAAAAAGAAAATTACTTGGACTTTCATAAGTGGAAAGGATAAAGGGGCTTATAATAAACGAAAAAAAAAAAAAATAAATGCGTGAGCAGGGACGGCGGAGGGTTAATTGTATCATTGGGATGTCTGGCGAAAGTTGACGTCAAACAAAAAAGTATCTAATACAAAAGTTGTAGATCATGCAAAAATCTACAACTTTTGTAGAAATCATTTTTAACATAACCTCAAAATTTCCGAGAAAAATGCGAAAAACATGTTTTTTTCTGATTTTTTGTCTTTTATTTTTCATTTCCGCAAAAATAATTTAATTTTGACGAAATTTGGTGAGAGTATACCTTTCTCTGTCTTAAATAACCTCAAATTTTTTTAGTTAAAAAAATCAAAAAGTTTCTGAGATATTCATTTTTTCGGTCTGAAACATTTTTTTTTTCAAAGAAAAATTCTACTTAAACTAGTAAAACTACTAAAAATTATCGTACAGAGTTCTGCCGGTTATCATTTTTTTCGTTTTGACATATACTTTTGGTGAAATAAAAAAAATTGTAATCGCAGTTCAAAAACATGCTCAAAAATGCAAAAAAATAAAAAATTACGCAGCAATGAATTTTTCAGTAATAATTGTTGATAATTTGTTTAAATTTAAAAAAAAAATCAAAAACTGATTACACCATTCAATTGTATGGAAAAAATACAAAAAAAACTCTCATTCCTCATTGTTTGACACAAAACTATTTTTATACAGTAGAGGTATTGGTATAAACATTAAGTCGAATAGTGAATAAATAATATTTTTTTTTTTTGTAGGATCGATAGTGTACTTATTTTTTTTTTAAGTTTTATGAATTCATAGATATACAGTGTGTCCAAGATAAGGATGGGATAGCATTAGGATATAGGAAACTGTAAAAGACACGGGGTGGCTCAGATTAGAAAAAAGTTGTGTTTTTTTATACCTAAGAATATGCTTTAAAAATTCCGGTTAATTCCGGAAATATCCGGAAAAACCCGAAATTTTGCTTTTATTTGAAAACGAATTTTAAAATAAATTACATATTCACAATGCCACTTTTTTCGCTCCATACAATGGCGTCAACATTTTTGCAATCCGACGTTTCGTCTTCGAAGGGCCATCATCGGATTCATTTTTTTAAATACGTCGCTACTATTTTTATGACAAAATCCAGTCATTTTTAATTCCGAATAAGAGGATATTACTGTTGTAATCGCTTAAAAAGTTTTTAGTCTGTTTTAGCTATAATTAAAAATTTTTCCTGAGTACGGCTCTGAACGCTTTCAAAATATCTATTGGATGAATATTCAACAATTTTTTACTACTGTTAGCAATACTAATTAGAAATAATAAAATGTTTCATAAATTCGTATTATTCTTTTATTCTGTTTATAGCAATATTGTACNTAATGTAAAAATATTCCAAATTGAGTTTCCTTTAAACTGGTTGTAAAAAATAAAATTTTCTGACTGTTATCCCCATACTTATTGCTCTTTCTGCAAAACTTTCTTAGTCGATTTATATCTGTGTAATTTTTAATGGACGTTTTTCAGTATTCTCAACTTCACTTTTAATTAACAGTGAGTTAATTATATATTATTGTATTAAATATTATTTATTTGGCACTTAACATTTCGTGAATTTAAACATTAGTTCAATTTTGTGTAGAGATAGCTAAAAATCACCCTACATCTCTTTTTATTGAAATGTACTTTGCTGTTTGAACGACAGGTACACATGCATGTGTAAAACGTCCTGCTGAATCACGATATGCCATCAAAAAAACAATTGAACATCAATTTAAGAAGAAATGTTCCACAAATTCACAAAGTGTGCTATGGAAAAACAAGTAATTATTGTTTGTAAGATGGAACCATCAATGTCATATTTTGTTAAAAATATATTCTAACCTACCTATGTATTAAAACTGTAGTAGTGGTGTTTACACAACACAATTGTTTCAGTTTTCCAAGCCAAGGCTTGCTACTTGCTATTTGAAATTTCGAAAGTACATTTTAATGATATGTACAGAAATATTTATTTTTTAACTTATTTGAGTCATAGTACCTACGCAAATAAGTAGGTACAAACTAGTTACAGTAATTATTATTCAAATAGGAAGTTGAACAAATGAAAGACTGTCGCTGAATGCGTTCCTATATTATTTCATGCAAAAATGTTTCAGCCTTCTTAAATTAATACCTATTCATTTGTTTCCCTGATAACATACTTTGATTTCGCAATAAAAAAACAATGGGGGGAAAAATTGAAATTTGCCAACGTCCCTCGTATAAAATTTATGGAGTACCCTCAAGGCGAACCTCAAATCTGTTAGAACGAGACTAAATATGTCCTTGGCATTTGATTGTTACGATTAGAGTTCAGCTGTAATACATCAAAAATAACCGTTATTAATTATCACTAATTTAACTGTGCTTAGTTACTTAAAGGGTGACTTACCTAATTGTGGGCTAAATTTGGGGGTCAAATTATTGCCATGAAAAGGATTCCACTTCACTTTTTTTTTAAGTGGAATTTTAATTAATCATCGTTTGTTTTCAAATTGGTACTATTGACAGCAGCTAGCACCGCGATCAAAGTCCTCTACAATGCTGCCGAACTTGTATTACAATGAAAAAGTTTTGTTAACTATGTAAAAACTGAAGACACGAGGAACAATGTGTGTACTTACTTTGAGGGGCCTGTGAACCCGGGTATATTACTTGGCCTTATTTCAGGGGGAAGTAGCTGTAAAATATCGATGCCGACGTCGCGACGCCGACGAACGAATAATTCACGTAGAACTTTGTAAGATGTACGTTTTTTTTTTTAAAGCTACATCTAGTTTATTTTGCATCTACTCATCAGTTCTTTTATCAGTTTCTGCTTCTTTTGGATTCACATTCTGAAAATATTACAGGGATAAAAAAAAATTCAGTGCCATTCTAGAAGTTCTGATACATGATCGTTTTTTTTTCAAAGCAAGATCTGATTTGTTAAGGTTCTGTTTTCTATTTTGATAGTTCGATATGACGTTAAGCCTGGTCAAGTTTGAGCAGAGGGAAATCTTTAATGCCTCAAATCCTTTCTGTAAGCTCATTGCATCGAAAATATCCTCTTGGACTATTAAATCATTTTATTGGTTTGTTAACGACGAGTCGTAAATCAGAAGTCTGCCCTATGGGATGATTTTATGTACTTCCCTCGTCGTAAAACTTCCTTGTTGTTCACAAAGTACATATGTTTATTGCTTGCGATTTCCATAAACTATTTAATTTGATTCCTTGACGGGGAAGTGAAAGAATCAACTGGTAAAAAGAGATTAGAAGAAGCTGTTCAGTAATCATCTGTTTGTATGTAAAACTCATTCGCATATTTAACAGAAATTAATTTTTCAATTTTCGTATCGTGGAAAAATGTAATGGTACCTACCTTTGTACATAAATAGTACAGACGAACAATTTTTCAGATATACTTCCTCCTCGAAATAACAAAATTAGATAAAATATTTTTTTCTTATTTCCTGAATTAACTGAGATATTCATATTAAATTTGATACTCATCTATCGCTTAAACAACCCATGGGATGGGTGAATATGGCAAAGAA